CAGGGGAAGGTGACACCAACTTCAACCATTAAGTGCTTCATATATAAGGGGTCCACTAAACCATTTATTATGCACCACTCATCAGGACTAACAAGAGAGAAAGAAACGCATAATGTAAACCATATGTTTAGCTTGTGTATATTCAAACTACATCAAACAAAAAAGATTAGCAATATGAACAACATGTGAACCATATGAACATCTTGTGTATATTCAGGAGCCGACTCTGTTGTACGTACATAAACACCTACGAACCAAGGCATATAGGGTTGTTTGTTTTCATACGTGTTCACATGTCTTCATATGAACATCTAGTGACTTGAATATATATGAACACTTATGAATCACAGCATCTAAGGTTGTGTGATTTCATATGTCTTCATATGTATGTGTGTGTTCCTATGTCTTCATATGAACATCTAATGCACTGTGTGTTAACTTCATATACCTTCACCTGTAAACTGATTGAATCTCTCAACAGAGCCAACTCCTGAATATATAGAAGTTGTTCAAAGGGTCAACTGCAGACACCTTTTTTGCAAGATGTTACATCTATATATATATATATATATGAACACATCTATATATATGAACCATTGTCTCAAATACGAACAAAAATTGACATATATATGAACTTGGACTAAATAGCATTTAAGAACATAATATAAACATAATAAGAATAGTTGTTACACGAAAAAAAAATAAATAAAAAAACAGGTATGAACACAATATGAACAGCTTGTGAACAATAGTTTCTTCATTATGAACACATTCAGAAGCGAGCCAATGTTGAGATATGCAGCTAATGTACATATGAACACAATATGAACAGCTTGTGAATAATAGTTCCTTCATTATGAACAATGAGTTTATCCATAATAGCTTGAACGATACCGAAAACTTTACTACTAGATCTCTTCTACCAATCACAAATTCAAAAACATTATAGATAGAAAAATCAATATTATAAAAAAACAAGATCAATAATAAATTAACAAAAATTATAAATTCAATATTAGATGTCTCGATTCATGTCCCTACTAGAATATATATGAACACACCTGAACGTATATGAACATTAGTTGTAGTCTATAGCAGATTAAGCATCACAAGCAGCTGATGGAGCCGAATGATAATTAGAATTGGATTGCATAACACATTAAGTTGACGATAAACTCATTCCATTTGAACAAATGAATTGGGCTCGTAGTAATAATTAAAGAAAAAGCTACCAACACAATATGAACTATAAAAAACACAAAAACGTCATAATCAACATAAGTTCGATTAAAAATTCATATGAACACTTATTAACACACACATTTCATTAGATGCCTTGATTCATGTCCCTACTAGAACATATATGAACACAACTGAACGAATATGAACACTAGTTGCAGTCTATGGCAGGTCAAGCATCACAAGCAGGTGATGGAGCTGAATGGTTATCAAAATTGAATTGAGAAAAAAATTAAGTTGATGATGAACTCATTCCATTTGAACATATGAATTGGGCTCGTAGTAATAATTAAAGAAAAAGCTACCAACACAATATGAACTATAAAAAACACAAAAACGTCATAATCAACATAATTTCGATTAAAACGAATACAATAACATATTAATCCATTACCAATACAAACGCCTTGATTATTGTCTTCACTTCCGGAACTCGAAGTCCAATTGTCATCGTAAACCATTTTAACCTTCCCATTGTTGTCGAGTTGTTTTTCAATGGGTTTATCCATATTAGCTTGAACGATATCGAAAACTTTACTATTGGGTCTCCTTTAACAATCACATATTCAAGAACATTATAGATAGATAAATCAATATTATAGAAAAACAAGATCAATAGTAAATCAACAACAATTATGTGATTTTTTTGATTTTGTAACTCTCAATTAATGATATGAGAGTTACTTAGAAACTAAAATTACATATTTACCCTTGTCATTGAATTATGAGATGAATATGATCCTAGATAAAAGATGGATTTCATTGGTTGAGCTTGGTTAACAAAGTTAACACAATAATCTTGGTTAACATTTGAACCAAGCNATCTTGGTTAACATTTGAACCAAGCACTCTCTCTCTCTCTCTCTCTATATATATATATATATATATATATATATATAGAGAGAGAGAGAGAGAGAGAGCGGCCTAATCAAATGAGAACTATTTTGTTTGTGGTAACTATGAGATCCAACCTCAACCAATCATTTTAGATAATTGATGTTATTCTTTAATTAACTTACAATGGTATGATAGTAATTTAATAAATTACAACTCTGTCAAAACGTTTTCTTTTTAATTTTAGTAGTTATCCAATGCCAAATATAGTTTTCCTATTTTCTTAATTGCAGCCGCAATTATGGTTATCATTGTCTTCCATCTTCTTCCTATGATTTCTATCAGTTTCTTCAAATAGTCCTTCATGGATTCAAGAGTTTCATCAAGAAAGCTCTTGAATTACATGAGCCATTACCGAAATAGACTCCAATACAATTTCTTGAAGAATCTTTTCAAGTTTAGAAGGCTTGGTACTGTTAGAACCTCTTCCCATGAGTCACCCACTTGAGTGTTGGTTCTGGGCCTCGCCAGCAGTTCGGAAGGGAATAACGACATATTATTATCAAAATTGGCATCATTAGCTTGCACCACAACACCACCATCACCTACGAGCCTAAAGCGGATATGAACAGATCCATTAGTTCCCTCCCCACCATTCCAAATCTTTGAATTCTCGTAATTATCAGTTGAATTATGAACCATGGAGCAACTGGGTTTATGTGAAAATGGACTGGAACACAAAAACGACATTGAATCAGCCGTAGAGAAAGTGGTTGGTGTATTGTTACTATTTGTAGGCAAAGACTGTAAACTCCTATTGGGCTGTAAACTAACTGAAGGTGTGTCACAATTTATTTTTGCTATTTTATAAAGCTTATCACAGTGTATCAGGTAGTGTTGCTTTATGAACTGTATCACAATATGCATTTTGATTATTTTCCTTGTTTTATCAAGGGTATTACAATGTGCATTTTTGTTATTTTTCATTTCTTTACAAAGTGTATCACAATGTGCATCTTTTATCGTTCGTATGTATCTTTTTTTTACAGTGCTAGATATTTTTTTAGGTATCACAATGTGTATAGTGTGTATCATATGTTGATATGGTGTTCGTTGGAGAGAGAAGGTGTTTGACGTTGAGAGTTGAGAGGAGAGAAGGGAGGGGGGAGGAGAGAGGAGAAATCTAGAATGCCTAAATGCCCTTAATTAATATTTTAAGTTAAAATTATCAAAATTATTAATTTCCTAATTTAACCTTTGATTTGTGGTTGAGATTGGATCTCACGGTTACCACAAACTAATCACTTCTCCATTGAATGAGTCATTGTATATAGAGAGAGAGAGGAGCGTTCAAATGAAAACCCTCTCTATTTGTGTAAACCGTGTAAACCAATCTCAACCATCCATTTCTTGATCAATGGTCAAGATTTGTAGGCTTTATTTATGGAAATTAAAAAAAAATTCAGTTTATTTCATCAATAAGGGTAGAATGGTAAACAATCATTAACAATTGGTAACATCCTAATCGTAATCTTTCCGATTGAATCCCGTCTTCATCGCTTACATTCCCCCAAATCAGGCGAAKGTATCCTTTCTTCCCCATCGAATATAGTGTTTCCAAAATCATCGATCATCAGAATATTCAAGAAAAATGATCGGCAATAATGGAGGTATGTTATATTAATTCATTTCGTTTTCGATTTTTTAGAACCCTAACAGTGATTTTGGAGCTAATTGACGCCTGTAATCCCTTGCTCTTTCACAGGTCGAAGGCGTTTTAGCCATAGATTGAGGGAGATGCATAGTTTTTCAAAGTTTACTAACAACAAGGACAGACCAGTTGAGCTCGATGATGAAGGTATCGACATTGAGTTCGTTAACCAACAAATGAAGAAGAGGGGGAAGAAGAGAGTCGTGCATGATTCTACAGGTAACATATTTCTGTGTTTTGCGTCTTAAAGATGTAAGATTGTGTAATACATGATTTTCGGACATTAGTCAAGTGTATGCGAAGAAACCCATAGTTGTTTATTTCGTATTAATGTGAAGTCACTCTTGACAGTGATTGATATTTTTTATTTCATTATAATTTTGTGAAATTATGGGTGAATCTAGGGTTAAGTTTTCAGCAAATTGAAGTATCAATGAAAAAGGAATCATGCTTGATGAAGTTTAATGATATATACAATATTAAATATCATGCTTAATGAAACAGTTCACTGTGATAATGCAATATTATACAAATGTTCATTTGCTTATTCCAGTCTTATTGTCCATGTTAATGCAATTGCTTAATGAAGTTTAATGATGTTTATTAACTGTAAATGGTATGAATCTCATTGGTATACATTATGGAACACTACTCAAGATAATTAGAATATTTGATCAGTACCTCCTAGAATCTGATCTGAATATGTTTATCCTTATTTCAATCCTTTTTGGTTGAATATGGGATAAGTAGACTATTTGATCAGAAACTGCTTTTGGTTGAATATGGGATAATCTGGGATAACGTTTGATGAAATTTTTTCATCAATAGTTCATTTGCTTATTATACTCATGTACAAAATGAGTAATGAAACTGATTCATGCCAAAACTATATTTTAGATTTTATTTTTTCATACCCATTATTCAATTGTCAGCATTTGCATCCTACAAATTCATCAGACTTCTGTTTAACAGAAAGTTATTTGCATCTCAGTTTCATTTAGGAACCATCAACTATAATATTCATATAATACTCTAAAATTTCTTAAATAAACCTGCAGCCAAGTTTCTTAAAATGTCAAAGTTGAAACACAATTTCCAAACCAACATAACATATTTGGATGCAATTAGGCTACAAGATCAAGAAACTGATCTACTAAAACATTTTAAGTTTGTTAATACAACAGAACTATTATAAATCTCCTGCTGCTGCTGCTGATCAGCACCAGAGCCTTCTGCTATTCGCCACCCCTTGTTCTTCATCATCTCCATCATCAAACATCTGATTCGAGCTCGATGAACCCACCACATCGACTCTCATATCTTTGTCATCCAATGAACTTTGCGAATTAGATCCCGATCTTTGGTTCAAATGTGGCATTGCCTGCATAACTCCATYAACCAATCCAGAAGCAACTTTCTTTTTRACKGTCGGGCTAACAAGATTGCTTCTTGCAGCGAGTGTTCTCTTGTTGTTCGGAAGTGATGAGTATCTTTCTCTCAAAGAAACTGGGATTTCATTCAAGTTTCTTGTCAAAATCATACCTTCATTTCCTCCTTTTCTCCTTCTAATCCACTGAAGGAATCGCTGTATCCCTTTCTGCTTATTCTTTTTGGGGCTCTTGGATTCAGAGTTTGAGTTCGAACTCGAGTCAAGTTGACTCAGATCTGCGGAATGCATACTGAACACTGGAGTACCATAGGTAGTGGTGGAGGAAGTACTATCCATCCCAGTGTATAGAAACATTTCAGAATCAGAAAGTTTGAAAGAAGTTCTTGGACTACCACCACCACCAATGCTGCCCATTTTCAAATGGGAAGCAATCATTCTTCTTGCTGTGTAATCTTGACTACCGAAAGTTGCTCCGGCTGAGATCAGTTGTCTAGTCAGCAATTCTGATGAATCTGATCGTGGCCGTTGCTTAAGAAGATCAAGTTGAGCCATCTCATCGTTATCACAGATGTTCACATCAAGCGAACCCACGATCATAAGTAGCTCCACTAGATCACTGTGTAAGTTACCGTTAATGGCTAAATGTAGGGCAGTTCGTCCTCCATTATCTCTAGCGTTAATGGCTTCTTTAAGATTGAATGTTTTCGAGCACACCAGTTGCTTCATGAGAACAATCTGGCGGTCGAGCCTTCTRAAAGTTGGAGCCTGTAAACCTCTGATCGCCTTGTAAATGAAACAGTTTCACTGTGATCAACAACTGTTTCTGCTGTTTCATGGGGATTGCAGATTCAGGCCTTATTTCTCCTAATTTCAATCGTTTTTGGTTGATGACATTAAAACACAAGTATTTTACCAGTTCGTTGTGCATTGTTTGGCTCAATGTAGGTGCACAACATATGTGTTTTGAAGTCACATACACTAATTCATTGTATACATTCAGATGTTGCTGTTGTACAGGACCCAGAAGTTGGTAAGATCAAGAAACTGAAGATTACGATAAACAAGTCTTCATCGAGCCGTTCCAACACAGAAGATGCAGTTGGCAATACGAAAAAAACTGGGAAGAACATTGTTAATCCGCCCGTCCTAGGTACAGGCGAAATATATGTTTCATATATTGAATTTTTTCATAAAATATATTATTTGTACTAGTTAATGGATGTTTCATACAATCATGCAATTGTATATTAATAGAAATATAAAATATAGAGTGCAACAAGTTTAACAATATTATGCACCCTGTTCATATGAGGTTGACTATGCTATTCTATTGTTTTATGAAACTTTATACGTTTTACTTCAGTATACTAACATATTGTATATTTTCAGACAGTGATTTTGTGCACGAACCAAAACTTGCGGTGAAAAAAAATATTAACGTTTCTACATCAAAGAAGGCATCCTCGAGCCACGGTCGCACGGAACCCGTTCCCCCAAAGACACGACCGTCCAAAGTAGTAAAAACCACTACAGGACCTCAAGAGGCAAAAGGTAGATCAAATATTACATTTGCCTAAATTTTGGAAATATATTCAAATGATAATTAATATATGCAGGAGTTTTGGGTAAAAAAAATGTGGAGGGGGTCCAGTCGTTGACAGCATTCACAAAGAATCAGGAGAAGAGGGAATAATCCAGGACCTGCAGAAGGGGATCGAAGATGAACGGGCATTTGACACGAATGAAGTTCAATATCGGGTACTAAGAACTAGGACATCGCCCAGGACACTGCACGAAACAGTTCACACACTAAACGAATCACAACGTGCTGCCGTTACTAGTATGGGRTTGGGGAGCCTACTTGACATAAAAATAGACGGTGTCCCATCTCGTTTGGGTTTCTATGTTGTAGACAACCTAGACACTATGACCATGAGGCTTAATGTTCATCACGGTTCAATTCTGATTACAATAGCATCAATTCATGAATTACTAGGATTACCGACTGGGGGCATTGATATACTAAGTACACAACAAGACAAATCCGAGCCAAATCTTAATGGCATATTTAGGAAGCAATTTGATAAGAAGAAGATGAGACCAAAGGATGTTATGAAACTAATCAAAGATTCTGGAGATGCATCCGGTGCATTCCAAATCAACTTCTTGGTATTGTTCGTTAACTTGATGGTAGATTGTAACCGCATGGGGTGTTGCAATCTTAGTTTCCTTTCTTCAATCAAGGATTTGAAAATGATACCTGAGATAGACTGGTGCAAATTCATTTACGATATGTTGAAAACCAGTAAGGACAGTTGGAGCAGATCAAGTGATGTATGTTTCTACGCCGGGCCACTTACTTATTTGACTGTAAGTTTATCTAATTCATTTTTTCACATAAACTTCTTTTACCACGAATTATAAACCTCATTGACTTTACATTTTAATCAGTTACTATATGTGGAGTCAACAATATGGCCGGATGAAGTACTTGACCACACGAGGCCAGCAACAAGGGGATGGAGCTTCGACATGTTAAAAAAGCGTGAAGCTTGGGAAATAGCAAATGGAGGCCTAGGGTCGGCTCAATTGTTGGATGTGACAAGGGAGGTTGAAAGAGAGGTACTTAGATACCTTAATTGATTTATTTATAAACGTTTCGTAACGAGTAAGCGAATAAAATTTATATGGTATTAGTACATGTAATGAGTGCAAAATGCATGAAACTGTGTCAATTTTTTTGGCACTTGTAAAAACGGCAAAAAAATGTTTTCACTTGTTTCAAATGAAACTTCTACAACAGATTTATTATGAAACTTCTATGAAAGAGTTGTTATTAAACTTAGTTGGGTGCCTTATGAAACAGTTTCACTAAATATCAAGTTCACTAGCATTTGTACCTACTCGCTAATAGCAAATGAAACAGGTCCATTAAGACAAAATGATAGTGTATGTACCTACTGGTTACCTGCTGTATATTACATGAAAATGGTTCACTGCTTTATAATAAATGTAACAGGTTCACTGCTAGATATTACATGAAACATTTTCACTAGCATTTGTACATATTTTCTAGTATCAAATGAAACAGGTTCATTAMGACAAAATGATAGTGTTTCACTAGTATCAAATGAAAGATGTCCATTTGCTACATGAAACTTGTTCACTGCCGTACATTACATTCAGCATTTTCAGTGCTTTATGTTACATATAATATTACAATGACCATGGTTCATTACTATCACATGAAACTTCTTTCTCATAGTTATTATTACAATGTTTCACTACCGATTACAACCTGTTTCAATAACAATCCAACAATCTTTATGAATATGAACATGTTTGATGAACTAGTTTAAATCTTATTAATGAATTAACATTTTCTACGCCTTCCTACGATGACTAGGTGGAAATCAAGMTGATAAAAGACATGATATGTCATGTTCTTGATACAAGGCGTGATATTGAACAGTGTCTCATTGCTTGCAAGGCCAAGTATCAGGGGGATGAAGCTTTCAAAGCTCTTTCTGGTGATCTGAATGACATATTCAGATCCTCTACGCAGCTTGATTCAGGTCACACAGCAACTGATAATGTAGACCCTGCAGCTGTTGGTGAATCAATCGATATAGTTGTTAGTAAACGTACTGGCCATGAAACCCCGATTGATAATGAAATGCATCAGTCACCATTATCACAATATTGGCTCAGTCAAACGTTGCATAAGATATGTGATGAAACAGTCGAGAAATCACTATCTAGTAAAAAACAGAAGCAGTCATTAGATTTACGGCCTCCGTAGTTTGACCTGGGAATCAGCCCTACAAAGACAGTAGAACCGTCCACTGTCACAAAGCCAAGCTCAAAGGACAAAGGAAAAGGTGTATGCATCGTTGATGATGCAAAGTTGAAGAAATCAAACCGGTTCACCGGATGTCATCGGAGGAGTGTTCGCTTGGGCGATCACCTAAGATCACCTTTCGTTAGGCATGCTATAGACATGAAGGTGAGTGCAGAAGATAGACGCATACACGAGTGGGCGATTGCAGAAATTGGATCAACCTTGTAAGTATATTTTTTTACCTAATATTCACTGTCTTAAACTGTTACGAAATTGTATTAATAACACATTATCAATGACATATGTTTCGCCTAATATGCGTATGTCTTACGTTGCACATCCACAGCGACATTGTCTTCGAATTGGAGAATTCCACGACCATCCTGCGGKGGAATTTGGCAAGCCTAGCGTCCAAATGCATTGTTTACACAAATGTTATAGATGGATGGGCTGAATTGCTGAACATGGAGGAAATGTTCAGAAGCCGTGACTCACCGCGTCGTTTTTATTTCAATACGACTGTGTTGGTAAGTTTTATAAGATTAATCAAGTTATTTCAAATGAAAGAAAACATGATTTCATGAATGTTATCTGACTACGTGACTACCACACAGGGAGATCCGAAGCTACGGACTCAGCAGGCTGATTTTAATGTTCAGTATGACATTTTCAGCAATAACCTAGCTAAATCAGTTCGCTTCGACATGGAAGTTATTAAAATGCGAAATATGGATCTGGTATCCGCAGCATTTACTTTTTTCTTGCATTTAAAATTATGTAGACAATTTTTTCATCATGACCTTACGTAACCTTTAAACACACACAGGCATTCTTCCCTGTTATGGACTGTGGTCACTACTACTTGGTGGTGTTTAATTTCAAGAACCCATCAATCGTTGTAATAGACAACCGATTTTGGAAAGGATGTCAGATCGAAGATGATTTGGGTTTGTATGAACACGTTGTCGACTTATTAGTATGTACTCTAACTACACATTCACTCTCATACTTCAAATTTCTTCCCAAATTATATTTTACAATTGATTATTTATTTGTCCAGCATCTAGGGATGGCAACGGGGCCGGGGGCATCGGGGATTGCACTTCCCATCCCCGTCCCCGATCCCCATCCCCGTCCCCATCCCCGCTGGGGAATGTGATTACGTCCCCATCCCCACGGGGAATCGGGGATCCCCAACGGGGAATCGGGGATTTTTCCCCGGATGTGAAATTGCATTTCTTACTTGAATAAAGAGCATTATATTTATTGATTTGTAAATGTTTAAAGCTAGAAATTTCAATAAAACCAAGTTGAATTATCACGACAAGTTATCAACCATAAAGTTTAGCGCACTAATAAAAACMAACTTACTATCTTATCAATAGTAATGTTAGCCAAATACATCATAAAAAGTTCCAAAGTCTAGTAGTCTTTTCAAATTCCATATATATTTTAAATTAGGGAATTTGGGAAAATAAATTGAAAAGATCTTGTATATTGAAATTGGGAATCAGGGTAACATTTAATATATATATATATATTAATATATATATATATATATATTTCGGGGCCGGGGCCGGGGACCCGAAGGGTATTCCCATCCCCGCCCCCATCCCCGTTTTTAAATTTGGGGATTCCCCATCCCCGTCCCGGTCAACTCGGGGATTCCCCGGTCAAATCGGGTATGGGTATCGGATTCCCCATCGGGTGTGGGTTTTTTTGCCATCCCTACCAGCATCGGTTTATGATCAAGCACCTAAGAGCCGTAGGCCATCCGAGCTGGGAAGAAATGGATGAAACGGGTCATGACCGCTTGGAAATGAGTTGGCAAACTAAGGACAATTTCGAGGATGGAGGTGTGTTCTTGATGAGGCATATGGAAACT